TTAGTAATTTTAGGTTTCATACTTCCACTGCAGTTTCAAAGTCTATATCTGGATTACTGCTTGTATACACATGCCTACATACATTGCTGCTCATCTCCAAGTGAAGCTTCCACCAAGATGGCAATATGCTTATATTACAACTTTTTATATATGCAGTATCTATTTCTTGCTCTCTTCTTCTGGCCATACTCCTTCAATTAGGTCAAGCCAGGTTTTGGAGCTGGGGTTGAATAGATAAATGTTTTTCTCACTAGGACTTCTCGTATTTTGCAATAGAAAATGGGGGCCGGTATAGGGTAATTGACTGATTCTATTTCATGCCATGATGTATGCACATATTTATGCTACAGTTCTTTGCCAGGAAATCCTGTGCATTTTACAGAGGCTAGCAGGAAAAAATAAACCTTTTTTTCACCTTGCCAAACACTTGATTTGTGAGTATTGAACACTAATTCTGCCAGCTGTGAAGTTGCCTTCATGTTTCTTAAAGGTTTATCAGTAAATTAGCTGAAGGAGATGCACATACATCCCCTGCTGTACAGTTCAGTGTTTTACAACATTAATTCTGTATAGCAAATACCATATAGTATATCACTGAGAGAATCAGGATGATAATGCTGTGACACAGCAAATCCTCCATTCCTTCATCAGCATCAAGATTAGGCTCTAACAGTTTTAGCATGTATATGGAGTCCCAAATCTCTCAAGATGTGTCTGGTACATGCTTTTCCATATAAGGTAAGCTACTGCTCCCTTTATTTTCTCTGACAATCTGAAGATGATCACATAAATCTTTAAAAACTTGTCTGACTTTTCTTTATAAAATTGTAGGATCTCCTCACCAGGTTGTGGAATTATAGAAAAGTAGGGCTGAAAGGGAAGTCTTGACAGTCGGCTGGCATTTCTGCCATTATCATGGGCAACAAAAACAGCAGGAAGAAATCATATTTTGCAGAGGGGATATCTCCATTTGCGTGAGATTTGTGAAAGACTTAGTGAGCCCAATATATCTACATAAAGGCTTGTTTTTGTAATGTTTCAGTTAAAAAAACAAAACATGTTCCCATTGCTTCAAGGCTGGGAACCAATATAATTCATAAACAAACAGTGAAGTAGATAGGATTGTGTTCCGCATCCGATTACATCATTTTGTAAATGTGGCTGGTGAAACTATTTGAATTAATTTGCTTTTATTTCATAAATGGGAAGTGTTCTGAGCTGGTGTGACTTGTACAGCTAGCCTACTTGAGCACATCCTTCAGTAAACTACTGAAATGCCTTTGTTTAAAGGTAATCTCATTGTTTTAAAGAACAGATAGTTAATAATACTCAGTGGGATCTAATTACCTATCCCAGGTGACCTATCCTCTTGGTATCCAAACAACACAGTTGTACAGAAACTCTGAAAAGACTAAAAGATGATCGTTCTCTTTCTCTACCATACATAGGCTCTGTGGTGTACAGTGAACTCTATTTAAGTGTGTAGCTTCCAGACTGAAACAAGGTTATACACTAACTGGAAACTGCACTTATCCAAACAACATAAACAATCATTGCTCCTTAACTACATATTGCTGTAGTATTAACAGCCCAGAAGCTGGCTAAATCCTATCATTTTCAAGGGTTTTAATAGTCAGTTTCAGGGTTGCTATCGCCTCATTGCCAGTAGTGGTCTCTTGCCATCTGCTTCCCCTTCACTCTTTTTGGCACACTTGTATGGAATACAATTAGCTACAAAGAAGACAGTGGGTTCTGAAAGGTGCTATGCATTAAGCAGATAACTGGAGCTTGCTAAATCAACAGGGAACAAACAGGGACTTACATTGTTATGCAGGTAAGTGAGTTTCTCTGGTACATGTAATGAGGGGAGTGTACTGTATATATACGGCTTTTTTGCTTGAAAGGTTTGTTATTTAGAAAAGTGGGCACCACAGTCTCAACATGTTGTCACCAATGCTTTTGTAGTGTGTACTTCACTTATAATGAAGCCAATGATGATGAATCAGATCAACAGGTGGTATAAATCACCCTAGGTCCCTTTGTAGTCAAGGGAGCTATATCAGTTGCCAACTCAGCTCATTAGCTAAACGTGTAGCAGTAATACTATTATTGATGGTAGACAATATTCTACTATTCGGTCATTGGCTGTTGGCTGCTTGGGATGTTTCCTAAGAGTTTTGATTCCTAACAGATATTAAACTTGCTAACCAGATCATACCAAATTAAACACCTTTTTCTGGCATACCTCATGTATGACATGCACCTTTTCTGGAGGGAAGTCAGAATGAAAGAGAAAAGATTTTTCCAGTCTTGGCTGAAAGCTGACCATGGAGGATCCCAGCCATATGGCTGAATTCTGACCAGCCAGACGCTAGTTTTAATCCTCTTGTAGCCACTGCTAAGCTGACAGCAGCTTTTGACTTTTTATACTAGTCAAACATAGCACAATCAAAGAACCATCTTAGAGGTAGAGAAGGGCACCGTAAAAACTTAACTGGTTCAGAGGCATGATTTCGTAGGTAACAACCTACTTCATCATAGGCTGTCACCTACAAAAGCCCAGGCTGCTTTGAATCAGTTAGTCTTAAGATGCCACCTTGTCCTAACTTATGTGCGACTTGAGGCTTACACACCTAACTACTCCTATCCTAGAATAGTAATATGGACTGTCTGTATTGTTCAGTTAACTTATTTGACTGGCACCTGGTTATGATTACCTAGTTTAGCCAAGTCTTGATGTAGTCTTTCCCTTGGCCGTCATGCCCAAGTTACTGCATCCTCTCCTTTTGCGTTCAAGTTTTTCTATGCTACAGTGCTCTAGGACTTTTCCCCAGTGATGTGTCAGCTGTGGAAAAAACAGTCTCTCCTTTGAGGAACAATGGGAAGCCGTAGGAAGATTATTAGTACTTGAGTGATTTTGCCTGTGTTGTCCCAGCAGAGGGTGGAAAAGAGGGTTTTAGCTCAACTTAAATGGTACCGAAGGTGCAGTAAACAACCCCAGCTTGGTAGAAGAATCCAGACAAACTACCTTTAAGAACAATTCAGACTTTTTTCTTTGGAAAGAATTGCAAAGCTGATGCTAAAAGTCCAGGTAAGAGCAACAGTTCAGTACATGAATGTCTACAGAGTCAGGCGCAGCTTCCCTTTTATCTCCCTTAGAACTTTTTGTTCTATATATGAAAATATGTTACATATGCAGTTTTTATGGTAGTTATAGTCATGCTCCATATTCTTCCAATGCTGAAACCAATCAACATTTATCACCCATTCCCATTCCTTCACTAACCTAGACTGAAATCTGTTCGGGGGTTATAATATAAGAGTGCTAGTTATTCAGATAACTTAATTTCCTTATTGGAGTTAAGATTTGAATTTATAGTGTAGTTAACCATACAATAACGTGAGACAAAATTTACTGGCATCCATAATCAAAGTATTTTGCACACACCCAGCTGTTACGTGAACAACAGTGTGTCCTGTGGTAATAAATTGGTAGTGCCCACCTAACATGTTATATGAATATTATTTGGAATGTGTGCACTTGCCAAAAAAAGTAAGACAGATGCACAGTCTCAACATTTCCTCCTCAGCTCAGTGACTATTTGATCCTGAGTGTCAGATTTTCCAGCTGGCTTAAAATTGAAGTTGCTGACTGCAAAGTATTCAACACAGGATGAACAACTGAAACATCCCACTGCCTACCTAACAAATATTATATATATATATATATATATATATATACATATA